ATTTTTTTTTACCCGGGATAGTAAACGGAAGTGTCTATTTAAAAAGCCCTGATACCTCATGATTACCTATCAATATTGTTTCCATAGTCCGCGATGATGTGGGTTTCATTGTCCGAGTGATGATAAACACTGGGATTTCACAGTGATATCAATAGTCGACAGTGAATCGCATTATTTTTTACTCCTACAGCCTCAATTGTCGAACTATCGCGATAATTCCACATGCACTTCATGCCAGTTTCCCGGGAACGCTTGATGCGGTAATTTCATCACCTCCAGCAGATCTAAGTGTCACAGAATATGTAAGTGAAGCCGCTGAACTGGATTTTCCCCTCGGACAGGTTTTACACCTCTCACCATTTTATGCTCCCGAGTAAAAAAAAAATTGTAATCGGAATATTTTTTTCAAATTTTCAAAAAGTTTCTGGAAAACTTTTCAGAATTTTTTTCTTGAAACAAAAAAAAATTCGGAAGCAAAACAATCGTATTTTTGGGAAATGTTTTGAAAAATTTGTTGTAAATTTGTTTCGCGAATTTTTTTTTATCATTTTTTTAGAAATTCTTGCGAATTTTATTTTATTTTAATTATACTGTTGTTTTCTTACTTTTGAAATTTTTCAATATTCTCAAAAAATACGCTATCCAAATTATAAAAAAAATTTTCCTGTTCAAATTTTTGAAATATTTTTCAAAACCTTTCCCAAAAATAAAATTTTTCTTTTTCCGATTTTTTTTCTGTTACATAAAAAAAAAATCTGAAAAAATTTCTAGAAATTTTTGGAAAATTTGGAAAAAATATTCTGATTACAATGTTTTTTTTTTTCCCGGGGTTTTCCATCTCAAACGATTCGTCATCAATCCATAAATCAGGATTTTCATAAATGAGAATGACGTAACATAAATGGGAAAATTCGATTTATCATTGCCCTTCGATTTTCTGCGTTTTTCTCCGGGAAAATGTGGAAATTGCCCGTCAATTATTCGCTGAAAATTAAGCGGGAAATCCAGGGAAATATTTTGTTTTCAGTTTCGCGGATTGTAAATGAAAAATTTTTGTTTTCCAGTGGAATATTAAGAGACATTTGCCATCGGAAAATTCATTATGTAAAAAAGCACTTGATGTTTTTTATTTTAAATCGATATTTTCGGGATAAATCGATAATCGAGATAAATTCAAGTGATCCCTCCTTAGTATAGTGTCTTCTCAATTCCATTTAATTAATTGAATTCAATTATTTTTACTCATTATTAAATTTTATTTGTCTAGTACTCAAACTTCGAGAATTTTTGCAATTGAAAAAACGAAATATTATGAAAAAAATGATAATAACTATAAATCAATTCCGAGATTTCCAGTTGATTCGAAATTAATGGATAATTACCTCCAATTGCCAATGAATTGAAGTGAATTGGTAATTCCATTCGTTTTTGTCCCTGACTGCAATTTATTGTCGCCGCCTCGAAAATGACTGAGAAAATTCTCATAAAATTCCAATGTTTTTCCCCCAACAGAACAAATAACTTCTGCTAAATAAATTCACACCCAACAAACATCCATAAAAATTAAAATTATGAATTCCCTCGCAATTATCAAACCAAAAAAAAATTTCTCTCAAATGCCCGACGCGTCGACAGCTCGCCACTTTTCACAACCGACATTTTCCGCCGATATCTCATAATAGATCGACCGCATGCATTTTCACGCCAGAACATTTATTACAGAAAACAATATTCTCTACAAAAAAGATATCAATAAAAAATCCGCCATCTCCCTTAAATCCCGAGATATGGAGTAAAGAAAATGGATCGCACCCGAAAAAAAAATGGACTGATCCTAGAGTACCACTTGACACTAGAATCACCTAGAGAAATGAAACAAGATCCAATCATGAGTTGAGAATGACGCTGCCATGATCCAGTGTCATCGATGCAATCAAACAAACATTGTAATAAAGCTCATGTGTAAATAAACAGACATGAGGATGAAATATCCTGTCGTTATGACGGGCGTCAGTGGTTGCGCTGGAGAATCCGATTACCAAAGTACTGCAGCTTGATGTGCACCAAAATGATACGTACATACCAGAAAGCAAGGCTGATGATGTCATTAACAACTTCCTAACAACACGAGACATTGCAGATGCCCATTCCCCTCCCTTTCCCCATCCCTTAAACAGTAGTTTGCATTAATCTTCTTACGTTACATGATACGTCAATACTAACACGAGTATTGAGTCAATATCAGCTGAGGACACACAGACCCTGCAGAGGTGCTATGTATTCCAATAACTATCAACAATCAACATAATCACGCCCCAATTTTAGTTATTAGCTTGATTGAATTGATTGGTGAAATTAATTGACGAATTTCAAGTTGCCTGGGCAAAAGAAAAATTGTAATCGGAATATTTTTTCCAGATTATCGAAACATTTCTAGAAAACTTTTTAGAAATTTTTTTTTTTTATACTAAAAAAATGGGGAGACTAAGCAATCGTATTTTTGGGAAATGTTTTGGAAAATTTTCAAAAATTTGTTTCGCAAATTTTTTTTTGTCATTTTTTTCGAAATTTTTGGGAATTTAATTTTATTTTAATTATACTGTTGTTTTCTTGCGTTTGCCATTTTTAATCTGTAATCTGATATAAAATTAAAATGAAAAATTAAATTGAAATTAATAAAATGTAAATTTGTAATCGGAATATTTTTTGCAGATTTTCGAAAAATTTCTAGAAACTTTTTAGAAAATTTTTTATTTTACACGTACACGTTTGATTCGATAAATTGAATTTCTTCTCGAGGGTTATCCCATTGCTGAGTAATTGCTTTCTACATCGTGTAAGTAACCCCCGGAGAGATTGAATTTTCAAGACCATTCGATCTGGCATAACGCATTTTTCAGAATTTCTATTGTCCGACCACGAGGTATTCTTTTCCTAAGACTTTTATGAGCCATCAGTATTGATGCTTCTCTCTTCGCTTCATTGTTCTCTGGGAGAAAATACTTATCTTGAATGTTGCAGAGATGTTCAGAGTGAAATTTAATCCCATTGAAACAGTCCAAAGAAGTCAGATGTCTTGGCATCAAGAAAATAATTCTCTGGAGACTATCCAGGTGAAAATTCTTCCATTTTTACGTGCACAATGGACCAATAGGGTAATTCTGAAAATTATTATCAGTATTCCCTCCCCCC